GGCGGCATTCGGCAACGTGCAGCCTTGACCCGATTTGCCCTCGCATGACGCACGGTTTCACGCCATGGTGCCCAACGTGGGCAGGGCGGGAGCGAGCAGAAAGGAGCGAAGCCAGGCAAAGAGAACTAAGGCTTAGAAACTTGACAGAGGTAAAAGAAAAAAAAGAAAAAAGATATATTATATACAGTTGCAAAATCTTTAGTGAGTTCCCCCTCTGCTCCTGACAACAGGAAAAAAACCACAATTTTAAGTGTGGATGAGCGTTGAAGCACAGAAAGGATGTTTCAGAGCAGCCGGAGGTGTGGGATTCACTCAGACTTCAGAATGGATTTTTCTTCTGTTGAAGTGAAATCACAGCAGTAACAGAGTCTTGACTTTATAACTTTATTTTTTTTTGCTGTGCTTATACTTCATTGACCATGTAACTGACAGCCGTGGATGACAGTCTGAGGAGCAGACCTGTTCAGCCCGCGGTGGCCTGGCCGTCAGTCCATCCGACAGCGTTCCTGTGTGTCCTGCACAGCAGGGAGGGACAGCAGGGACAGGGCACCACACGCAGCTTCGCTAACTCCGTCAGCCCAAGCCCTGCAGCTGCGGCTCCATAGGCCCGAACACGGAGCAGCTCGCTCTGCCCCAAGCCCTGCCCCAGCTGCACGCAGCACGTTGCGGTTCACCTGCGATGGAGTTTGCAGCCTCCCTAGAGACATCCTGAGCTGGCTTCGCAGCCGCAAGTCCATGCCCAGAATTTTACTCTGCGTTCTGGGAAGCCATGGCTAAACTGCTAGCAGCGCACAAGAGACCAAGTACCGAAAGGACACTACGACACCCAGTGTGCAAATACTTTTTCAGCTAGTTTAAATGATGATAATTATTCACTGAGCTAAAGTAATCTGCTGCCGTGGGTGCAAAATTTTGCTACAACATCCGCATGCTTTTAAGTGGCAAAGTCAGAAAAGACTCCTCACCCCCAGGAATACATAAAATAAAAATGATTAAAAGAATCGCAACACACATTAGTGTGCAAAAATAAAAACAAAGGAAGACTCCAAGCAGGTCAGTGACAGTGGAATATGCTTTTTCACAGGGAATTTAATTGCTGAAGCCAAACTCAGCTATGTGCTTTTGCTCACAGCATTCTTGTGGAAGGGCTCCAGCAGACTTGAGGGCAAGCATTGACTGGACAGACTTATGTCAGAGTTTTCTCTGCTAAAAAAAAGATCTGCTAGAACCATGAAAGGTAAAATATGTGGAAGACAATAAATGTAAGGGCTAGGTCGGCATTTTCTCCAAGAGGTTACGTACTGCAGCTCATGTAATCTGAAGAATTGTGACACAGCCCAGTATAATGACACATTTACCTAAAAGACAAAGTTTTCATGTGTTGTACTTGCTGTAAATTTATTACTTTTTTTTTACAGTTGAAAATATAAATACAAGAACATTAAATAAATTTACAAGAAACAGTGCAAAGGCAATTAGCCAAATAGTTAGAGCATTCACAGAAATGCATTCCAGCTAGTAGCATTTCAGTACCATCTTTTATTACCATGCAGTTAAAACCTTGTGGATAAACACAACAAATACTTTTAAGTTCTCACTTTAATAGCATATTCAGAGTAGTCTTGGACATAGGTGACCAAAAGAACCCATGCGTTGCATACAGAACCACAAAAGGGTCTGAGTACTGAAGCGGTTCAACTGCTGAACTACCAGAGCGCCCCAGACAGGAGGCATTTAACGGATGCTTTTTGTTGAGAAGAGTGTTTGCAGGGCTCCCTACTGAGTCCTCTGGGAAAGCAAAAACCTAGCTTTCCTCCAGCAAGTGTCTGCCTCAAAAAATTCCCTTTACAGGGTCTGGCACTCCACAGTGTGGGGCCAGTTCGTTCTAGCTCTTGCACCAGGAGCACCCAGCCTTTGCCGAAGAACACAAGGGAAATCAAGCAATGGCCACAGCGGCACACCTGTGTGAGGAAGAAGAGGCACAACCAGGGCTCACGCTAATTTCTGTTCATGAAGAATCTTCACAATGTTGTATGGGCTCTATTTTGTTTCAGCTGTTGTGCATGAAAAGCCAAAATCCAGCTTTTTCAGCCAAGTATCACAAAGTGAATGACGTTTTGCTTCAGGAATTACCGAGCTAGGGCCTCAGGATTTGGCTTGCCAACCAAGGGCCAAAGTACAAGCAGAAATACTCATTAGAATAGCTCAAGAGCTGCACCTTAAAAAACAGCCACACAATGAAACAGACAATTTCTCAGCCACTAAATATAGCAGCTAGCATCTATTCTTCGTATTTTTTCTTCAAAAAAGTAACACTTCTCTACTCTTCTTTATCATTGCAAATGAGAAATGGCAGTGTGTTTAATCACTGGAACCACCCCTCAAGATAAAATATTGACCCTGCTGAAATCAATGGCAAAAGCTCCCATTGACTTACTCAAGCCACTAACATAACTTAGTTGTATTTAATAATCTACTGACTATTTATCACCTTTATTTATTACCCTGTTTCTAGCCCTCTGTGGTGTACTAAGAGGTTGCTAAAGGTTCAAGATGGATAGTGTTTGCATTTACAGTTCTGTATCTAGTGAATATATTTAAACCACTGTAAGTGATTTCACTTACTGAACAAATTAACTTCTGTAAAATTCTGTTAATTATTTGAATGAAAGACAAATGCAAACTTACAATAGAAGTTAAAACAAAATACCAATTATTATTCTATACATAGGAATATTTAAACTTATATTACAAGAAATAAATATAAAAGTATCATTAAGATGCTTAAAGGCTGATATTTTTCTGCTTATGTACATCACTATAGAGCTTGCTACTATAATGTACAAAAAGTTGAAGACAGTGTAGCTAACGTTTTTAAAGATAACATCATTTGTACACACAAGTTGTAACTTCCTACATTTATACAATACTACTATGCATTATATCCAGATACTTATTTGTAAGGAAAAAAAGTCTAAATAAATCTTCCCTTTAAATGTAAAAAACCATCAAAAAAACCTCTAATGAACAACCATAATGGAAATGTGCAAGCTGTACTTTGACATCCGAGACACCCTGTCAAAATAGTAGCTTCCTTTTCCTTTTTGTTTTTTTTTTAATAATTGTCCTTGTCAATCCCTTGTATGGCTGCCTTGAAGTTCCAGTACCATATATTAAATAAAATCAGTTCTTGGTTTGCTCACATTATGTAAAACTGTTAAAGTAAATCTCTACTTCACACTGTAAAACAAAGAGCCGTTTAAAAGAAAATCACATTTTCTCAATAAAAGTTAGGCTTCCCCTCTTTGAGGTCCTTCTGAGCGAGACATGGTTTTTCTGGCTGCTTGTATCATCCTTTTCTTGAAATACAAGTTGTTTGCCTGAAAAGTCATGGAGACACACATCACCATTCTGCACAACGAAAGAAACACCATTCTTCTCACTGGAAAGATGGCCTGCTGAAACAAAAAAAGTGCACCCCTATCAGAAAGGTTCAGAATCAAGTCTCCCGTGCTTTTTTCAAGTCACTGCAGGGGCATTCATGCACTCTCATTTTACCCCTGCAACAATTTCAAAATGTGGATTTTTCTGTACATATTCTGGATATATTTCTTTTCCTAGGTGAAATTAGTAAAAGATTTCAGAGATGTTAATGTATTTATGTGCAACAGGATCCCATATTTTAAGCAGTGAAGGCCACAACTCTCAGAATGTAGACTTTGACTTGGAATAAATATCACTAGATAAGATACAAAATGCTGCTCATTCTAGTTTTGCTTTAACGAGTTAAGTTTAAAAGGTTTCTCAGGTTTGCCGTGCATCTGAAACAAGAAAGTGTTTGAGAAAGCAAGGATATTTTTTCCTTTGAAAGGCACTCAACTTGCAGCATTTATTTCTGGAGGACAATCACAATATGGCCTAGGTCCGATCATAGGTCTAAGCCATATTTAGACTCAGAATCTCACGCGTTGAAGTGAATCTACAATGAACATGTGTAATACCACTGCTGACTGCAGCCTAATGAAATCCTCCACAAATGCTCAATTAACTGGATAGAATCTCCTACCTCTATGCACCATGTTCTAGATAATTTTTATGAGAATTAGGAATTTTTTATTGTAAGTATTTGTGCAAATGTTTCTGGCTGGATTTTTTTTTCCCCCAAAGCAGTCAAGTTTAAAAGATCTGCCAGGATGCTGGTATCATACGTATCGTATCAGTAGGAGTAAACTGTAAGGAATACCATCATGCGGAAACCAACACCAGAACTAGTATTGCTTTTGGAAGGGGATCGTTTTGTTAAACTCTAAGAAATGAGTTCACAAACACAGATACATTTATACCAGAAACACCATTAATAAAAAACATAAAACAGCAAATTTGCTATTTGTGTTAATATTTACAACACTTCATATACAAACATCATCATGATTCAGTAGATTTCAGTAAATCTGCTGAAAAGACACAACAGTGAAGGTAGAAACTGCTTGGAGTTTATGCTTTTGGGAGGAGGAGAAACACTGGTGAGAAATCTCTAGGCAGTGAAAGATGACTCTGTTACAGGGCTACTGATTCAAGCAGATGTCAGTGTATCAGTTGCACCAAAGTCTCACTGGCAAATTTTCTTTGGAATGAGAGATGGCATTTTTTAAATAAGACGTGAACATGTATTTCTAGCTGATAAAGCTTACTATCGGTTTGAAAATGTAATGCATATAATTTCAACATCTCAGGATGGGAGTTTAAGGAAGTGGATTTGTGGTGATGGCCTGTCAAACAAAGATTACAAATTCCATGCCAAACTACTGAGTGGCCACTGGACCCACAAAATGGAAGCGACGGCCCAGAAGATTATGCAAAGCCTCTTAAAGTCTAATATTTAATTCTTAACTTAAAAGGCCATCAAGCAGTAAAACAGGCACAAACGTCAACAGGGTAAGACAAGCAGAAGAGCTCTGTTAATCAATTCCAGTCAGGTAAAAACTGAAATGACAGAAAATAACCATACTTGCTGACACTGTAATTGTGCATATATAGTTGTCTAACCCCCTGCCTGACTACAACTGTTTTATTTTAGGAGGAGTGTTCAAAAGAGGTGTTCCCTATAGTTAGGGCAAAATCCAAGAAGAAAATACGGCTATTCCATAAACAAATTCAGAAAGGTGGTTTCTGTTCCTCAGTGAGGAAATCACATGAGCCATGTGATACCTAATGGTAGTTTTCCAAACATGTAAAATTATAAGAAAAAAAACTGAAAACAAGGAAATATTAGTATGCCATGAAAAAAGGAAGTTACACAGTCCAGTAGGCAAGCAAAGCCACAGGCTGTAAGGACATCCCAAACTTACCATGGCAAGCCATTCAATCCTGCATCTGGAATAGCATTTCAGTGGAAATAGCGAGACCAAAACTGTTAAGTGTTTACAGCTCAGTACATTTATGACATAGGTCTTAATTTCTATAGTGTTTTATTTCTGCAGCTCACCTTTTAAAATGTTTAAAAGTATTGAAATGTTATTTTGAAGTTCTAGCTGCGATAGCAGGGAAATCAAGTCCAGCAAATTATAAAATCCCATGTTCCCATCTAACACCAGTCAACTACCTTTTGGAGGCATTTGCCCAGCTCTTCTGAGATAAAACTGACCCATGTTTGGAAGAGTAAGTGCAAAGAATTGCCTCAAAGAGCTTTTCTGGGAGGACCAACTCTGTCCAAGTGTAAGTTTAGCCTCTTCTTGCAGAAGTCATAGAATCATCATAGAATCATAGAAAGTTTTGGGTTGGAAGGGACCCCTAGAGGTCATCTAGTCCAACCCCCCCGCAGCGAGCAGGGACACCACTAACTAGATCAGGTTGCTCAGAGCCCTGTCCAACCTGGTCTTGAATGTTTCCAGGGATGGGGCCTCCACTACCTCTCTGGGCAACCCGTTCCAGTGTTTCACAACCCTCATTGTAAAGAATTTCTTCCTTATATCCAGCCTAAACCTACCCTGTTTTAGTTTAAAACCATTACCCCTCGTCCTGTCACTGTTGTCTCTACTAAAAAGATTGTCCCCATCTTTCCTATAGGCTCCCTTTAAGTACTGAAATGCTGCAATCAGGTCTCCCCGCAGCCTTCTCTTCTCCAGGCTGAACAAGCCCAACTCTCTCAGCCTGTCCTCATAGGAGAGGTGCTCCAGTCCTCGGATCATTTTTGTAGCCCTCCTTTGGACCCTCTCCAACAGTTCCATGTCCTTCTTGTGCTGAGGGCTCCAGAGCTGGATGCAGGACTGCAGGTGAGGTCTCACGAGAGCAGAGTAGAGGGGCAGAATCACCTCTCTCGACCTGCTGGCCAAGCTTCTCTTGATGCGGCCCAGGACACGGTTGGCCCTCTGGGCTGCCAGCGCACATTGCCGGCTCATGTCCAGCCTTTCGTCTATCAGTACCCCCAAGTCCCTCTCAGCAGGGCTGCTCTTGATCCTTTCATCCCCCAGCCTGTATTGATACCGGGGATTACCCCGACCCAGGTGTAGGACCTTGCACTTGGCCTTGTTGAACCTCATACAGACTCTCACACTGGAAAGATCTAATTATGTGAATAAAATAGGACAGAACTGGAGCACGTCACACAGAACTGGCATCGCTCAATGGTTTAGACCATCAATTTTGCATCTCATTTTATCCAAACGAACAAAAACCTGTTCCGGAAAGCCAAACAGGACCATTCACTCAGTTGCTACAACAAACAAGTTCAATAAAACATTTCTGCTATCTTTCTTTCTGTTGAGAAAAGTAGCCAAAACGCTTTTGTAGCTATGTGTAAGCATGTCAAATACTGCATGGAGAGGTGGTATCATTCATCAGAATAACTAACATAGCTGGAAAAAAACCCCTACAAGACATGCAGGCTTTTATGCCTGAAAATGTCTTTCTCTTTGAAAGGTATTACTTCTACCTAAAAATATTGCCTTGCTTTGTATTTGATGGCAGTGAGTTACTGGATTCTGGTTCTCAACTGACCTGTTAGATACAAAGTATGTTAATTATTGCATTGTGTGGTATCCAAACAGAGAGGTTTTACAAAGCAATGACTAAAAAGAAGAATTAACTAATTTTACAAGCTCAGTCTGGAAAGCTGTTCAGGGCATGTCCAAATGCCATTTCGTGAAGTGATTTCTTCACAATATGCAGCTAGTACATCCAAATAGATGGTAACCTATTAAGGGGGCAACACACACGAATTCCATAGCTTTTGCTTTGTACATCTGAGCGATTATCTGCTGAGATTATCCCGCTGATTATCTGCTGTCTTCTGACAGCATAGGCCAGGAAACGAGGACAACAGCCTCTGTGAGCATGTTCTGCAACTTCACACTAAACAATCTAGCTGATGGCATAACTTCTTAGCCTCAACTCCGGATCAACTGGGAAAATACCTGAGGCACAGAGGATCAATGTCCTGTAAATTTTGCTCAGCTTAGGCTTTTATACATTACATATTTATAGGCTATTTTTCTGTTTGAAAAACTGACTGAGAGCTCAAATCAGCAGCATGACGTATGTCCCGCAAGAGTGTGAAAAATTAAGATTGTGTCCACTGCAAAATGATCATTTTTTAATAAGTACATTTAGTGGAGATTCGTATCTAGTTTTCTCAATAGACAATAAGTCACACCAATTTGCAAGTATACACCTGCATTTCAGCTTCTCAGGGACAGAGCAAAGGGTAACAGTTCAGAGGATAGTACTGTGTTAGAACAGGAAGGACACAGAATTTCACTTCTGAAGAGTTGTTTTCTGCAACAAAGATAGATTTCTGTTAGGCAAAACCATCCTTAAAAACCCACAGGGGAAATACAGAGCTATAGAGAATTTCAGTTTCAATACTTACTCTGTAGCCAATAGTGAGGCAGCCCTCTCAGCAGTGCTCTGTTCACTGAGATGATTTTATAAGTTAGTCTCCATTTTCTCTTACTTCTCCTCTCATAAGCAGCTTCCATGTAAGCATTCTATTAACGTTCTTCATCATTACCTCCTACATGATTTCTTTCATACTTTCAAGCTATACTATTATGCTGTATTTCTTTTTTCTTCAGGCAATCTTTGTTTTAATAAGGTTTAAAATAGGAGCTGTTTTAAAACATGCTTGAAGTTTATTGTCATATATTCAGACGACAAGTGTTAACAGCAGCTTCTGATAAGTAATTGCTCCAACAGCAAATACTACCTACTATTGGATACATAAGTCAAGAGTTCCCACTGAGTAGGAGAAATGGATATTTTAAAACTTTTGTTTCTATAGTCCCCTAAAACATTTGTGAGGACATCCTGACATGTTCTGACACTACACTTCTGAATAATATTTTGTCAGTGCTTCATTTTACATAACCACGAAAGAGCATAGCACTTCCATTTTAAGAAAAGAAAAAAAAAAGTTGAGAAATACTATTTTACATTATACATACCATTTCCATTCGCGTGCACTGAGTAATCATTATTCATTAGCAGTGTTGTAGAGTTAGTGGAGTTACTGTTTGATTGTAAGGAATTGGAAGAACTGGATACACCTTGATTTACAGTCTGCTTCTTCAAACCATTAGTAGCAGTTCTACTCCAGTCTACAATACATGTGTTACAGAAAATAGCACAACTCATACAAGCAAAATATTAAAACATATTTAATAATGCAACTGAATTAAAATTAAAACTAGGCTTTAGCCGCTCTCCTCACAGTATTCTAGACAGAATTATATCCTCCTAAAAATTTCATGATTCTTGACATTTAAAGTTATTTAAATATAATTCCTATTTCTCTTGTCCTTTTTTTAATACTAGTAGCTGTGGCGGTGCAGCCTTGTCCCACCCCCTCCCCCCTCAGGCCACGCGGTGATTTCAGATTCAGCCAACATTGTGTTCTTGCCTTGATTACAAGAGCAGTGAGTGGGGAGGACCCGGCACTTTTCTTGTCTTTGTTCCAAGAGCAGTGAGTTGGGATGATGAGGCACTCCCTAACCATGCCTGGAACTCCTGCTGCCTGGTTCACAGCCCTATGTGGCAGATGCCAGAGCTGTACATTCTGGAAAATACTGGAATTGTACGTTTGCTGCTAAAGATACCGGAATCACCTAACACAGATTGTGGCCAGGATGGAAATTTATTGATGACCAAGTCAATCATCTCATGACCCTACAAACAGCGGACCTAAGATCGGCGCTCTGAGCTCTCCTGGACTGCAATGGGCTGCAGCCACCGTGTCCCTCTCAGTGGGACGCCTCTCAGAGCTCACGAACTCTCAAGTTCGCGAAGTTCAGAGGACCACCATCAAAGACCGATGATGGGACCTGGGCTGAAACCCTTCACTCCTTGAGGCTCAACCCTCGCCCACCAAGAAATGCCGAGACATTTGATGTGAGTATTTCACTGAACTCAAGGGGAATTTTTAACAGGTATACCTTTACACATTTATATATCTTTGTGTCTGTGTGCGTGCATGTGTGAATTGATTTAGGTACCTGATAGCAAGCATAGTATAAATATTGCCATCTCAAATATGTAATTAAGTCACTGTTGTGATTAAAGTAAATTTGATTGAATCACTTTGTAAATGTTAAATTAATCAACGATTAAGTGCTGCTAAAAATCTTGTGATCCACCTTAAAACTATGAATGAACCTTAGATTGTTGGTACCTGCATATATATAGCATATGCTAACTAATTTTTAACTCGATTTTCCATGTATGCCTTATTCATACAGTGAGTAATAGAGCGAACCTTGCCATCAAACTTTGTTAAGTCACACTTTTACAAATTCCTATTAAGATCACTTTTGCTAATACCTTTGACAGTGATTCTTTAAGCGGTCTGAACAGTGCACTTGTGACAGTAGCCAACTGTCATAGTTTTCTGACTATAGACCAGATCAGAAAAATAACTAAAGTACAGTTGATCCTCTAAGTTAAAGTGTATAAAAAGTATATAGCTTTATGAGAGGTCAACTGCTGAATAAGAAAATAACATAAAATCATTTAGCTTTTTTGTTTGTTTGTTTAAACTATGCTTCACCTTGTTTTGTGGAATTTACTGGTAAAACTACAGTTGACTCAGAAGCTGGAACAAATCTTGCAGATTCTAACTACGATCAAAACTCTTCTGCAAAGACATGCCTTTATACTGCAGTGGAAGACATGAACTGCAGTTAGCAGCTTAATGCAGCAGCATGTAAGCATCTAAAAACGGCATCAACTACCAACTTTAAAGACTATAATTTTGGAGGTTTATTATATCTTGGATAATAAATTAGACCTGCAACTGCAGTAACATGATTTATTATTTTTTAAAAAAAGAAGTATTACAAAATAGTAGGAACTTAACACCAAGTTTAAGTATTCAGAAGTAAAAGAAAAAAAAAATTCATATTTACCAGAGTTTTCAGCCAGCCTGAATTTCCCACAACAGAGGTATCTTCTCCACTGTTTACGGACATTCTCCTTTGTTACACAATAGAAGATAAAAATGAAGAACCCTGAAAAGCAGTAACGTTAGAGAATGTTTCAAAATTGACTTTTGCTACTTCTTAACAAACAATGTTTTGGTTTTCTTTCATTTCTTTTAAATTTCTAATCAAAAGTAATGACACCTTTCTTTGGTGAAAAAGTTTACAACTCTGAACACTGAAGAGTATTTTTACCTTACATAGATGAGAGGAATCATACAAACAAATGCTAGAACAACAAACACAACCAAATCCACAAAGTACATAAAGTTTCCTTCTATCAAATAAGAAGACAAAAATTCCGTGGATCTTGAAATTTACTTAAGACTTTCGGAAAAGAATTCAAAGCAATGTCAAACAGAGGGTACTATACAACACTGTCAGGCTTTGCAGCTGTTAGCACATGGTATGACACTGTCCCATCTTTTATTAGCATCTAATGTGATACCACCAACTGTAACAGAACTAGTAATACTACAAAATTTTGAGCACCAATACAAAGAAAATAAGTCTTATCTAAAATAATAATAAATAGTACCCCCTTTACCACAAATTCAAAGGCAAATATTTTCTAGAAGGGATGAAGCTCATCCCTGTCTCTTGTCAGTGCCACATTACAGACTCATTGTCTGCTTCTCACTCAGTTCTGAAATAGGGTGGGACTTAACTTTTCCTGCTTACAAGTCCATTGTCACTGTCCCCCTTTAAGGAAAAGCGGCACTCAGTCTTTGCACGATTTTCCAGCTGCAATGCATCTCTAAGAACAGATTTTAGGCTTAAAATGAATAGAAAATAACATGAAGGAAAACTAAATTATCAGACTGGTGCAGACATGTATGTATGTTATGTTTACACTGCTTTTAAGGCCAGTTAAGCATGTAAAATCCCACTACAAGAGATTACTCACATCTTTCTTTGCTTACGTATCTTTCTTAACTTTGGCTTTTAGGATGAATTTTTGTATGTAACCAAGTGTTGCTCTACACAGATGGTTCTATACCACTTTCAAGTACAGTTCTGAAACATTGGCATAAGTTTAATTGAAGTCAGTACAATTTATACACCTTTATTACTTCTAATATCAAAATTTGCCCAGCACCTAACTTAAAACTGGGCAAAAGGGGAACTTAATTTCACATAACAGATTACTCTGATCACACAGAATCTAGTCTTGTGTTAGTTCAACACAATCTCACGCAAGAGCTGGGAAGATGTTGGTTCAACCCCTCAAGTTAACGAAGAGTAAGGTACTCAAAAATCAAAATAGCAAAAGGAGGAGGGGTATATACACTGAACTGCAATTTTCATTGCTTTAGTCTCTCTGGGAAATCATCTAGCCAGTCATCTGAAGTGCCTTTTAAGCAGAAGTTTAGATCCAAACTTCAGGGCAATTCAGGTATACTTAGATAACTGCAGGCACTTATACTACCTCATATTTATATGAAAGCTTTTGCAGCCTCTGAAACTCTGCTTTTGGATATGTCCAGTAGCATCCTGGCCTTTGCAAAGCTGCATGCCTTCATATCCACTTCCTGTATGTTCTTAACTACTCAAGGCCATGCTTAAGAGTTAGACCACTAACTTTAAGATATTGCAGCTTTGCCTGTCCCAGTGGCCCTTTGTTGAATGTCACACAATGTCACAAGAGGAGAAATGATACACTTTTCACTACATTAATTGCATTATTATGTGAATACTTACAGTAACTCAGTATTTACAATTGATCTGTTGACTAGAGAAATACAGTCACTTCCAGTGGTCTCTGCTTTGCATACATTTTAAAAATTATAATATTTATAGCTATAAGTATACTATACATATAAATAGTAACTAGCTTCCCTGTACCCTACTGTAACATAACTGTAAGTCAAGGTTACAGTAAAGCAGTATCATCTCTAATTTATTTAACACATTACAGCATGTATCAAAATTACATCTTTATTGCTGAATCAAGAAAATGCCATTTCCAAATGTTTTGTTCATTATGTTGTACGCAATGGGCTATCACATGAAGGATAAATTTACCTTGCAAAGTGTTGAAAATGGTGAAGAGGTAAGTAAATACCTCATTTACTGTGAAGAAAGCGAATCCCCAAGTAATTCCCAACAAGAATGTGAGGCCAGCAACACTCCTAAGGTCTTGAATACTGGTTTTTCTTTGAGTACCAAGTTGTTTTTTCTTTTTGATACGACAGAGCTGGATCAGCACAACAATGAACATGCTGATATTGATCAGGAATATCAGGCAAAAGTATCCCACCGCAGTAATATAGAAGACAATTCTATTTTTAATCCAGCAGCTAGAACACAAGAACAGTCTGTCAACCGTTATGAGAAACAGAAATTAAGCAAAATAAACATGAAATAAATGTCTAGTTTGTTGCACATGCAAATTAATTTTGCCTCTTTAGTAAAAAGTATTTTTTTGGCCTAAGGATAAGAGCCTTCATATAGGCAATAACCACAAAACACATGACATACTGTAGAACTATACCATTTCAAAGCTCTCCCATTGCTTCCTTCCCTTCCCCACCTTTAAAGAAAATCAATTTTGTAGCACTTCCCTCCCACCCATCCCCCAAAAAAGCACCTCCCTTTAACTCACAATTCATCAGGTCTGTTTACTGAAACCTTTCCAGTGGTTATAAGTCCATAATTATCAGGTGATACTGCCAACACAATGGACACAACTACTGCTGGTAACCCTAAAAGATTATGAGCAAACACATACGTGAAAATCATTACAAAGACAGCATTATGATTACTTGAAATGATGATATTTTTCTGTGAAATCTACAACTTGTTTCTGACGTGTGTCTGTTGAATTCTGTTGATGACTAGCTGTTTGAAAAAAATCTAAAAAATTGAGTATTCACTCAGGAACGTAGCTTGCAAAGAAACAAGAGTTCTCCACAGCTAGCTCCAAACCTTTCTGAATAAGGAAACAAATACCATCACTCATCAAACCAATTTAAAACATCAAATACAAGATACCTGATTTTCTTTCTTACAACTGTTTTAAGAAAACAATTCTATTTATTTTAGTGCCTTCACTCATGTTTACTCAAGTGGCCAGAGAGGGTAATCAGGTCCAGAATATCTCCATCCTTTATCCAGTTAGATCTGTTTTGCTGCTTTTTGTTAGCAACAGTGCTATCCCAGAAATGGAGTATACATACTTATTGGCATTTATTTTCCAAAGAGAACTGATGCCATCGATCTGGTAAATTGAAATGGAAGTATGCGCATTCAAAATTGGTTCTATCATACTTGCACAAGGGAAATTCATTATCAATTTGCATCACAGCAGCCTCAGTTCTGCAGTTACGGGGGAGTGGCCCACCTCAAAAAGGTGGAATATATAGATAGGATCAGGTTTACTGATGATGAATATCTGGTCACTGCAAGGTCATAACATTTAATGACTGCTTCATTTTCATTTCTGAACTGTGTCACATTCACTGAAATACTTGATAAGAAGATTTATCTATTTACCATCCAAAAGGAAAAAAAAAACCAAACAAACAATAAAAAATACATACCCCAACCAACAACGCAAAATTTAAGAATATATTTCCGTACATAGGTATTGAAGACTTTCACGAGGGCCAGATACATGTGGAAAGCTTCTAGGCCCATCCAGGTGAAGGAAGCCAAGAGGAAATAGTGAAGAAATACTGCAACTGCAATGCACAGGCTTCGTGAATCATACAGTGCGATCCATGAGTCAAGGAGGAAAACTAAGTTGAGCAGAAGTAACGCAGCACAGAGCTGAATAAGGATTTTGGAGGGGTAGTCTCTCCGGATTTTCCTAAGAAAGCAAATTAGTGACATGACATCAATTGTCCGTGGATCCCTGGCTTACTTCCTCTCTAGTTCTTATCGCACAAATGCCAAGAAAAAAAATTCTATATTATCATTCATATACAACGCATTTATGCATTGAAAGAGTAATTTACAAAAGGTTTCCAAATTAATGGTCTGTATGAATAAAATTTGTTATAATAAGGTTATACAAATACAAACAATAACTTGGATTCTTAGAATTTAGTACCATGATTATTTTTTTTACGTTGTATGTTGGACTTCCCCTTGTTATACTACTTCCAAAACCAAAATGTGACTGTTCTTCATTGCTAAGCTAGATTAGGCTTTTGACTGGGCTTCTAAAGCCTTGATAGAGACAAGTAAATCCTTGATGACAGGATAATGAGAGAACAAACGTGTGCCGAATAACTTTGAGGAGGATTTTCAAAACATAGTATGGAGGATTCAATAGTTAAGGTTCAAACTTAAGAAAACGTTCCAACAAACACCAAAGAATACAAATGCATTTAAAAATTCTATCATTCTGCACTGATCTATATATGTTGTATCTTAAACACATTCCTTCACACTTCTATTATGACAATCCGTTATAAAATATTTAAGAGTGCTACTTCTTCACTTCTTACTGTATAGAGCCTCAAGATTGATTCAGTTGTCCACAGGATGAACATTCCTGAAGACTGAATCAACACCTTCCTGGTAAACTGGACAAATTCGTGCATTATTAATGGAGACATAATCCATAACTATTGAAAAGGACTTTGCCATGAATATTACTTATAATTGAGTAATAATGGGAGCGTAGTTGAACAGGTACTTACTCAAAGGCTATGTAGGTCACAAGAGTAACAGAAAGAAAAATTGCAGAGAGGCCACAGCCTATATAAGATATAAAAGTCAGTACCAATTCTTGTGTGGGATTCAAAGGAGTTTTTCCATACAAGTTCTGTAATGGAAACAGAAGTTAATTTCAGAGAACATGTTTGTTAAATGCAAAAGGATCAAAAAAACCCAAAATGCACCTTTTCCTCTGCAGTTAGAAAAAAAAGGAAACAGTTCTTTTCATCATGGTTCTTATAAAAGATTAACTGAAAAACAGAAAAGCTAGTCTAGTCCTGCAAGGAGCAGGGAGTTGGATTCGATGATCCTTATGCGTTACCTCCAACTTGAGATATTTTATGATTCTAACTGTGAAATCCCATTTGATTAAAAACTTGTTTTAAATTTTATTTATCCTAATTTTTATTCCCTAAAATATAAACTGCCTAAATGTAAAAGCTGCAGTTTAATAAGCACGTAAGGAATTTTTTATTTCAGTGGAACTCATGGACCCCCATTCAACATGCAGTTTAAGTACATGACTAGTTTTACAGCTGCATGTACTAACACTGAAGCAAACAGAATCCAAGTAGTATTTCATAGGTGGTACGTGCTTACTGAATCCTAATTTGTTTAAGATAATACATGCTTAAATGTTCTCTTGAATCAGGGTAAGATTGCCCAATTTTTAAAATAATTACCATCAAAACTGCAAAGCTTGTGAGGTGGTTGCATGAACAGACTGTTTCATTTACTCTACTTTCTTTAACTATGCAGCCTTCATACGACCAGCCTCCATGTCCACCTGTTAAAGAAAACAGCACTGTTATTCACAAAAGCTCTTACTTATATTAACACGGGTTAACACAGCTAAACCAGCATGATATCTTGGGTGATATCAAGTACTTACCGTTTTTATTGAAGTCCCAAAATACACACCTAACTGTTGAATTATCCTGTTTGGGAGGTAAAATAAAAAAAAAAAAAAGATGTTATACTAAACTATGAGTTTATGATCACACAATTTACGAATTATCTACGAAACGCAGGCAAGAATAAATATTGTATACAGAAAATATACCTGTTTTACATGAACACAAAATGAATTTAGGTGCATAGAATGGATTAATATTGCAATATGCAATATGCAATATTAATATGCAATGTGCAGTGAAAATATGCTGAACAAACTTGAAGTCACCATACAGGAGCTAGCTCTCAGGCTTATGATTCTGTCCCTGGTAAAACATTATGAATGCTCTTTCATTGTCTTCCCACACTGTATGAATTCTTCAGATTTCTCATCCTTCCTGATTTTGTTAAGTATCAAGAAAACAACCACACAGAAAAAGAAAAACTCTTTTTCATTTCCAAACATTTGATCACTTTATATTACTACAGTGTTAAAGGTTTACATGCAGATATCACACACACATCAAAATCCTAAAAATAGTTGCAGTAATACACTAATACTTCTACAGTTCTATTTCAAAACTCAGTATTATATCAATACAAGGAAAGACTACACTAAGCCAGCTCTAAAAAAAAAGCTTCTGATACATTAGTGGAATCCCTATATTTTTCAGTTTATAATATTTTAGTATTTTGAACAATTTTAAGATACGGGATATAACATTTGAATCCTTGATGCTCATTTAGGAAAGAGATGCTGTATATGAGCCCTAATAGTTCCAGTGACACAATCCTGTGTTCCAGTTCAAGGAACAACATTCCCCCTAAGAAAGAAGACTTGTATTGCACCTACAAATGTCATGACTGCAGCATCTCCTTAGCAATCCCCACTGCCAGGCTTTCATCCAAGTGTTTTTATTATTTGAAAAATAAAACAAAAGGGTGGGTAGGAAAGATAAAAACTATATGGATAAGTGATAGACCAAAATTACCTGAAACCATTTGAGAATAAAAATTTATACCAGTGATAAATACGCAAAGGTGAGTGATTTTTAAAGCACAGATGGAGATAAAATGTCCACACTAGTAAAGCAGAACCAACCGATCTGTATTTCTCTTACTACAACTCCAATGGAGGCAATGAAATCATACTTTAAGTTTGCCAAAATGTAAACCATACCTGATTAGGTTTGGTATTCTGTAAAGTGACAGTAACATTCGTCTTTAAGTTGCTAATTGTGAGGTTACCAACACTTGATGATATAACATTGCTGATTAAAGATGCATTCTTCAAGGAAAGATCCTGGAATGACAGAAATAATCAGATTTTAAATTCTTAAAGGAAACAATAGGGGAGTACAGCAACTACAAGTTCAGTTGTTATGCAGTGCAAGCACTGGACAAAAAATTATTTTTTAAATTAGGAAGTTTTGAAATGTGTTTTGTGGGAAGAAAGTCCACTCATATTCATATTTTATTTTACTCTAGGCTTGATTTTAAAAGCCTTATGAACAGAGGATCAAAAAGATACCTGGAACACAGTGGTCTTTTTAAAGAAGTTGAATATGATTCTAGAGGCCAAGTCCAACTCTTCAGGGGGTAAATTTGACAGCAATGATGAAGGAAGTGTAATTGATCCAAGATTATTTAAATCATAAATTGCATTAATGCCTAGAGAGATCTGAAAAATAAATGCAAGGATTATGCTTCACTTCAGTCACTAAAGAAAAACTAAATTGTGACTTATTTTCAGTTTAAAACTTCAAAATAGGTATCTCTCTAATCACTGTCAGGAACTCACTGCTGCTTTCTCATTCCTCCCCTGCTTCAATGAATAAATAGCATCTGCAGGCCTGAAAAGGATGCAACTCATTTTAGGTCTGCCTACCATTCAAAATACTCTGGCTTTACCCATTTGCCTACACAGACAAAACATATCACTGTGGTGGATAATATTGATTTGACAAAGATGAAGAGCAACAACCTAGGGAGATTAACATTTCACAGCATGGAAGCCTGCAAAGACAAAGAATTTTTATACCTCATATGAAGTATGTCAGTATTCAGAAAAACTGTAAATCACCATTATTTGTCAATAGATTTTTAAGCATAGTAGGCTAAGCATAACATAAGAACGTAAATCCTAACTTTATGATCATCTGCAAAAATGACAAAAATAAACTGGATAAGCTACAATTCATGTATTTCAAGAGCTTAGTGATCTAACATTATAAAAAAAAGATCTGACCTTTCACCCAGTTTTCTGTGCTGTACTTACAGGACAAAGAGCTTTGTTTAGTATGAAATCTCTCACATTTTCTTGTTGCACATCAGTCACTTTACATACAAACATCATCTCAGAGTTCCTGAGAGATGTGAAACATCAGCAGAACTGAAGAAAGAACTTCTCTGTATATTCAAAGAATGGTTGTAATAGGAATAACAGTGTAAGCTCTCCACAGTGCCCTAACAACATGGTTTAACTCTTCTGTTTAGACCAGTGGTTTCCAAATTTTTTTGATCATGCAACCTCTAATAATTTTTTGAGCATGCACCCCAAAATACATCTATTTATGTTATATGCATGTACTACTGTACTAATATATTACACGCCTTATAAAACATACACAAATCCAGAAATTTTAAAAGAATGAGGTAAAGGCTAAACATTATTTTTTTAAATGTATTTTTTATTTATTAATCATATAAAAAATATTTTCTTGCTGCACCCCAATGGACTGTCATGTGCACACCCTGGGGTATTCACACCCCACTTTGGAGATCACCGGTTTAGACAGCCACCAAAGAAATTCCACATCAATTCCACAAAAGCATTGCTGATGCTCTGATTTTAACTAGACCATACTTGTTGGAAAATTCTATGCATTTCATTGCCAGTGCCTTGAGATTTCCAGAAAATCATTACTTAGCAAATTTCTGTTTTTCCAGCACTACCACCTCCTAGTCACCTTACATTCATGCACCACATATTTCTAAGAAAACAGAAAAGAAGTCAAATGTTAACATATCATCCCATTTTCAGTATCACAGAACAGTTCCAGTACAATTTATGGCTCATGCTAGATTAAGCTATTTCCTGCTCTGAGAAGACAGAATGTGCCAAAATTTGTCCAGAACTTTCTAGCTCTCTTTGCTTAAGCCTCCAAGGCTGATATTGTCTAAATTATTATTTCATCAATGAGGAGGGAGGTTTTGAGTGAGACAAAGTGGATCCAAACTTTCTAAACACTTCTTTTGTGGTGAGACCAACTAGTCAACAGTGACAAATGTATGAATGTCATTATCCAAGCAATGTAAATAGTTCTTTCATGGAACACTCTGCAAATAATATTCTTTTAACAGATGAAGCCATCTGGCAACACTCCTTGACAAATTTCAGCACCGTCAGGGTGGGTGATTAAGTGACTCTCGATTCAGGGTTTTTGAGGCAAAGTTACTCCACAAAGCACTCTGTCCATTCCAGTGTTCTGGCTGTACTCTCTCTAACGGCCTATTAGTCGAATGCCAGTTTTTGCCAAGTCTGTTGCTTATTTACACCATAATACAAAATGAAAGCAAAAGCTATGAAGGGATTCAAAAACAAAGTATTTTTTTTCTCTGAAACTAACATGAACAAAAGATCCTGAAATTGTGACATAAACACAGAACAAACTGATGTTACATATAAATATAAAACATAAATATAAATACTTAAAAATAAATGTTTGAGAATTTGTAAGTATTTAGAATTATCAGTATTTAACCTGGAGATCAGCTGAGTCCTGGACAGCAAAAGACATTTGGTTGGAGCGGGTGCTATTGGTTTTGACAACTGCCAGAGCCAAGGAAGGGGAGGTAAAATCAGCAGACGTTGCTGAAAAGTTCAGTTTTAAGCCAATAGAATCCACCAGTTTTATAACTCTGTTAAGAAAAAGAGATACTTAGTATTACCAAACACATACACCCAAAATTCTCAGGCAAGTTGTGGTTATGGAGCAGTAATCCAAGCGTAGTGTAAAATACAGCTGAATCTGCTTACTTATTGTCGCGTCAACACAAAAAATTACACTGTTTTCCATGGCATTATATTATAGTAGAGCTGCTAACACTAGAATGATACTCCTTCCATTTTGTATAAGTACATTAAAGAACACGAAATATTTTTGTGGATTACGATTATAAAAAATGAAACTTGCTGAAGCCAATTTATCAAGATAGTCAATACAACACATCTTTAATCTATTGCTACAATGACCTACCTGTTAGAAATTCGGGGTGGTAATGGTTGAGAAGCAGTCAGGACTTTGCTAACCTCACTAACCATCCTTTCCACATCTTTTGGCTCTACTTTTCCAGCGGCTAAATCATTTTCTATTTTGGACACGATTTGCTCAGCTGTGGTGACATTAATGGTGGTGTATACAGAAGCTGTGTATGTGGTAGCTGATAGCACCTTTCCTGTGACAAAAGAAAAGTTGTGCATTTATTCAAACACTGTGTTCAACAAATGAAGTAAGCTTTGAGAAGCAGAAATATTCAGGAGTTCTCTTGACCAACAAACCTTCTCACAGCTTGTAAAGTCTCTCAACATGTTATGTGAGACAGAATTCCTTTTTCTCCCTGTCAGCTACTTTGCAGATAGCAATACCTTAAATCTTCCGAAAACATAAAGCAAGGTTTCAAATGGCCAGCATTAATTGCACTTTTTTTTGATTACAAAGTTTCTCACATCAGACCATTAGTGATGTTAAATAATCTATTATTTTGGATTTTTAGCCACTGGATGGCTGAAAGTAGAATAAAATGAAAGTAAGATCTGCAATTTGAAAAGAAGCTTGTGAAGATGTGTATAATCTTCATAACAAAATACACAGCCACCAAGAATATTCCTGATCAATAACAATATTTTAAGGAAGATCCAACATTGATTTGCAATATTTTAAATACTAGCTCAGTAAAAAAAATAGCTACCTGGCTCTATGACTTAATTTTTTTCTGCCACAGGTACCTGTTGGGAACTTAGCACAGTACCTGTCTATCACTGTTGCCAACCAAATTGTAGGGTGAGGTATCATCATGACCAAAGGCATCAGAATGTATTTTAGAAAGAAGTATACACCTTGTGAGAGTTGTCTCCGGCTTTTCACAATAATTGGAAGGTCACAGCTCAGATAGATAATCTCATTTAATAAAGTTTAAGAGCAAATTCAGTATATGGCATTCAAATTGAAAAAAAAATTATTTTATTTGTCATATTACCTGTGCTCTCGTTATGCAGACTACCGTGGCCACCAGCAGTAGAATGAGGATGAGAACCTGAGACAGAATGGTTGACAGGACTAACAGTAGGGGTCAAAGTTATTGTGAAAGGAGTAAGGGGAAGAATAGGTGCTGTAGTAACATTTTTGTTACCAGAAGGAGGTTGGGTCAAATCTGTAGCAGGATGAATTTGTGCAATAGATTTTGTGGTAGTCTCAACGGGAGGAATTGCTATTGCAGGTTTGGGGGGAAGCTCAGAAGAGGAAACTTCAGAATGTTTATTGAAACCTACAGAAGGAGAAAATATGGTAATAGGCTTGCTAAGGTATGCAGCATCAGATTTAACTGAGAAAGCAGCATTACTGGTAGATTTTGTTGCAGGTGTGGAAATGGTGACAGATTTAGTAGAAGCTATGGAAGGAAAAGTTTGCATAGTAGGCTGAGCAAGCGACTCAGAAGAGGAAAGTGTAGTGGTAACACTGGTGGAAGACACAGAAGTTTCAGTAGTATATGTGGCAGAAGTTTCAGAGAGAGGATTTGTAGTGGGAGATGTCAAAGCTCCAGAAAAATAAATTTCTGTGAATGGTGGGATCAGTGGTCTAACTGTAGGGCTTTGTTTGGTAGAAAGCTTAGTGGGGGAAATAAAAGTATTAGATTTGGGGGCAGTCTTTTTAGGGAGAGAAGGAGAACGAGGGAAAGGAATCCATATAGAATGAGGTCGCAATTGTATAGTACTGTTAAAAAAAAAAAGCACAGAAATGCATGTTAAATATAACATAATTTATATCTTAAAGAAAATGAGTTATAATAGAGGAATATATATGAATGATATGGACATACTACTAATAATGTACATTTTAAAATCAATCAGATCGGGTGTTTCATGCTTTAGTAATAAATACAAATTTCATAACATTTTGAGGGTTCTTACATTCTATTTTGCTGTAGTTGTTAACTAGCAAGTCCTTAAATACTACTACTGCCTTTGCTGCCTATTCTGGAGGTGACTTGATGCTGAACACAAAAGTTATCTGCATCAGGAAAAAAAAAAGGGGGGGTGGGGAAGAGGGAAGAAAGTGAAGAGAAGGGAGTGGAGGGGCAGAGGGAGGAACGGGGAGGGAGCTATGTAGGAAAATGCCTGTCAGGTTGTTCTTGTGCAGTCCTTCCTAGTTATGGCACTGCAACATGGAAGTCAGCTTTATTAATGCATTAGGAAATTTGGGAAATAAGCAAGTCAAATTTTGTATTTATACTTACTACATTTGTAATTCTTCAGCAGTCAAGGAACAATACTTGATTGATGAACAGCAGCACGATTCTGAGATGACAAAGAAGCATTAACCTAGTTTATCCTGAAGCATAAAAATTGCTAATACTGTGAAGTAGGATATACAAATAAGTGTGTGGGTTACGATTTTTAAACAATAGTGCATATTGCATAATTGATTTTGAGGTTTTTTTCTGAAATGACTTTTGCAAAACAGATCTTGACCAGTCAGAATACTGCAGTACCCCCAGATTTTTGCTCAGTGCCTGAACAAGTACAGATTTCTCTTTTTGCTACTGTAAACAAACCAAATGAAAAGCTACATCTTTTGAAATACAGGGATAAATGGTATGAGTCATCTCTCCCTACTATCACAATATCACTAAGAAAGCTTGGCTACTTTATATACTTTTCCATTCAGATTGCCATTTCTGTAACACATTTATGTTCTCAAGTAATTTTACACCTAATCCTTGCAAAGTCTGCTTTATTAATGTAGTCAGCAACTTTATACCAAAGTTTTTTTAACATATATTCTATCTTCCCCCTCCCCACCCAAAATTCAGAAAACTGCATTTTTGATGTATTTATCTTGCTCAACAAAAAAATTATTTTTATATAAAAGTAAGTAAAAATATGCTATTTTAGCTACTTGGAGGTCAGTTGTAAAGATATGAAATTTAATCTGAAAGGGTAACTGTGACAAGACTGTGTTTAAAGCATAACTTACCAAGTTGGCTTATTTCTGCTTTGTCTGTTAAACTGCTTATATTCTCTCTCTCAGCCAGCTTCACTATGAAATTGCAGTGCATACTATAATGAGAAGAAAAAGCTCTAGACTCAACAAATAGAAGGGCTTCGTCCTTACAACACATTAAATTAACATCAAATGCAAAACATTAGCACAAACACTAAGTGTGAAAGCATATTTTTCCTAGGCTCTTTCAGATTTGGGGCTATTTTTAATACACATAAAACACTATGCCAGGCTAAAGAGTAATACATCAGTTTGTGGCAGCTTCTTTTCTCTTTTCTCTACAGACACTGTTGATTCTTAAATGGGATCCTCCCTAATTAATGTTAGCCATTAAAGAGTTGGTAAATTTTTAAGGTAATAACTGTTACTGTAAAGAAACTCCAGAGAGGAACTAGCAAGTGTCCTAGGTGGCTATGTCAGTGCATATGAAATCGCCATCACCTGGGGAAAGCCAGTGTTCTCTCTCTTGACTTTAGAGAGAACTCAGATGACCCACTTAAGCGTGTAACTACACATTTACAATTATGGTTTGATAACATGAAACTCTGCCTATACTAGCAAACCTACAGTAAGCATTCTCCATGTTCCGCAAACTCAGACACACAGGTGAATGAAAAGGCAACACATAAAAGATGAAGTGAAGCTTCTTTCCATCTAACAAGAATGAAAAGAGTACCCTAAGTACTGCCAGTATATGGCATGAAGGTGTGATCTGACTTTATTGCTATTTGAGTGGTTTGGACTTTTCTTTCATCCTAACCCAGAAAGATCAACCCCAAATTCAAGTATTTGGGGAAATAAAGTTCCATGTTTTGTTTTACAATATAGTGTTTCCAAGCTGATCAGTTTAAAGGACCTGCAATTTAGTGGTGAGTAGCAATTAAATTGACAGACATTATCTACATTTCAGGGTTTCCAGGATCACCTCTGTTGCGCAGCGTTGCCATTCTGATGCCCCATGGCTTCCAAACTGAACTGGTTACCTTCTCAGGCTTCCCCTATCCTGAGGATGGCTGGTTTTCCAAGCTGAATAACAGCACCTTGGGATATCTGAAGCAACTTCCTCATAAATATTGCACTGTATTCACAAGCTCTGAAGTTTGGTGGTCCCAAATCCCATAGCCTTAGCAGTTAAGTTGCCCTGTGACTCAGCTAATACAAACATGCAGAAGAAATACAGCAGGCAAGCCTGTGCTTCACCAGAAGATTAATGAAAAGCAATAAAGTTTGGTTTAAAAAAAAATCTAAAAAAATATTTTAAATATCACTAATGCTAAGGGAATAATGGGATCAGAATTTCTTTCTCCAGCCTGTTTCTCAAACTTAACTTCCAGAAAATTTGTTTTTTCTTCTGTTACATAGCCATTCATACTTGATATATCACAAGACAATATATGAGCATTTAAAAAATTCATGACAAACCTCTGGTTTTCTGTATGGCATTCCATAACAGAGGACTGTAATGACAAGTGAAAATAGAAAAAAATTGTTTTGTCAGGAGGAGAGAACAGGACTGCTACTTAGATAATGATATTATCAGAAATCAGTTGAAAAAAAAGTTTTCCCAACAGTAACAAGAATTAGAAATCTTACCTCACTTACTGCTTGCAAGGTTTTGTTGAACTCTGAAATTCTTAAAAATAAAAAGTTATCATTATGGAGGATTTCTATCAATTTCATCAATTGCAACAATATAATGAAAATAGCAAGCAATTACTGAGAAACAAAAATTTCCAGCTGATCAGTGATTTTGTTAAAATTATGCCAGTTCTAATACTGTAAAACCACTTCTCAAATGTTTACACATTTTTGATGTTGCCTTTTATTAGTCACTCCACAAACTAAGTTTAAACCTCTGTCATCACAAATTGTAACATCAATCCAGTTCTTTAAAAGCTATTTAAAAGAGCAAACAATAAATCTTAATGTTGTCTTTTGACAAGCAAGCATATGGAACAGAATTTTAAATTTATACTCAAAGCCACAGAAATAGAATGAGTAAGAAATACGGGTTTTTTCTATAAGTAAGACCTGTTGGCCAATTACATCTTTTTGATTTTCAGTGTAAGTTTTGGGAATAGCAGTAAATATTCACTCATTCAAACTTCTCCTTATAAACACTGTGTAAAAAGAAACAACATCAAAATAAAAATATACATATGACTCCAAGAATATGTATTAAAAAACACGCAGCTATGAAAGTTCTCTTAGTAACTTCCTACAAGACAGACCAAATCCCTGAAATTTTAAAAACCATTTATTCATGAAGAGCAGGAGCCAAACTGGCATTCTGAACAATCCACAGCTCATGTCCTCAGGTACTATCGTTATTAGTATTATTATTATTACTATTACTATCATTAAGATCATCAGCATATAAACAAGGTCTTTGGGCCCTGTTGAGCCCCAAGGAAACTGAAGGACCTAAAAGGAAATCAGGAAATGTACCATTTCTTAAAATAAACTCCAGTGGTCCATAAAACAAAACTAGGAGTAATCTAACATAAAGAACAGTAACTAACAGCTCCTGAAATTTTTAATTTAGAAAGTGCAGGAATAATGCAAAGTGAAGAGTCTGCTAACCACATGGAAGGTCTCCATACATCTTTTTCAAATATAACAAAGATTTCAATCTTTATTCATTATTTATTACTTACCTTAATTCTTGTGGGGTAGGTGCTGGAATTGCAATAATTTTTGTAACTTGATTGTTGATGGTTACGTTATTAATCTGTTAGAAACAAAGATTCCACGGCTAAGCAAAACCAGTAATTTTTAGCCTTAAAAGAAACATGTTCATTTCATACATTTTAACAGTCTGAAATTCCAAAGATAAGAAGCATTTTCTCATGAAGACACTTCAGAAAGTATTTACCATGACATTGTTGTCACAGCTCATGGAAGGAATTGGCTCATCTAGTATACACATAATAACAGGATCCAATTTGTGAAAGATATGGGCAAGAGGACAGTGACCTTACCTTATCTCACATTATCAAAAAGAGGAATTTGGCTTAGTTTCCAACAAAGACAGCTTAGATCAGACACTGAACAAACTTTCTAACTGTAAGTGCAGCAATGGGACAAGCTCCATAATAGACATAAGTAAGAGACAACATCGAACACTGGGAGTGACAAGTCAAGAACTCAGGTGAAAGACATGGTAGGAATTACATAAATAGATACGATCTAGCCTTAGGGCCAGGGTATACACTAAGGTTTATCTAAAGGCCCTTTATAGATCTGCATTCCTGTGTTCTTCTAGTTGCCACCGTTACTGGTTATTTTTACATTTCAAGCAAGCAGTGAGCACCATGATGAAAACATCATCTAACATATATGGTATGGACATTACCTAAGAAATATTCTGCTAAAGAGAGTTTCAAGAGGCAGGAAACCTGTTTTTCTAATAGCTGTAGGCATAATGTTAATACACTAGGAGGGCTTCAGTAGGCATTATCACCACTGAAACACAACACAATGCAGAGGTGGCTTTTGCCAGGAGCCTGTCCCTGCCCAAAACTCAATGCGCAATGTGCACCTGTGCAGTAGCCCTCTGCGGTGATTTTGCTGACTACTCTCATGCTTGCAGAGACTGGCATGTGAAATCTCAGACAGAGTGCAGAAAAGGATGTGTAGGAAAGGTCCTTTACAAGCCAATATCCTTTTTTTTTCCTCCCTTCAGTTTTCCATCTATAACAACTGAATATTCTCATCCTCATAGCATTACCTCGATACTGTATAATCTATATGGTTCTTGGTTTGCATTATGTTGTTCTCTTAAACCTCTGTTGTGTTGTATTAAGTGGACGTACTCATGTCACACAGGCCTGCTGCAAAATTAATAACTGATTAACCACATGCCAAAAAGCATAGAATGATACTCTGTCTCAAAATGAGTTATCCCCAGGATGCAACCCAACTTAATTTATGCCCACACTGTTGCCATCTAATGACATTTGCTTTCTAAAGTAAAGTGCCTGAATTAATCTCCAAAGGAAGATCCTGTATGCCTAAATGTAGATTCTTAATTAGACAGTTCCTCTCTCCAGACTTCCTGGGGCTTCCTCCTCCTCCTTTCAGTGGCTATATTGAGAATATAGGCCCTTACTGTAGGAAGTTTACTTAGCTGAAATCTTAAATTTAGCTGCAAAGCAGCTGTTTAAGAGAGAGAGACTAGATCCATCCACTGCAAATAATAACTTGCACTGCCAACTGTATTTGAAATGAAATAAAACTATAAAAAGCACAATAAGAATCATGTCAAGATATCAGTATTTTAAGTAGACAAAGAAACACGTTTCAACCTTCCTTACAATGAAGTTTTAAAAGACAGAATACTTACTATTTCTACATTTAGTGACTTGTTACTTTCTTCACTTGCCTGAAGTTTTACCTTGCCCACATAGAACACTAAAACCAAAAGGAAAAAAAGTTAAGAAAATCAATGCTAAACCACATGATGTAAAATTGATTGAGAATTTAAAAATTCACTGTCTTGTGTTACAATAAAAGGGAAATAAGAACACTTACACTAGCTTTTCTGATCATTCACTATTTTTGCAATTGTTCTTCCATCTCTTGACTTACTATTTCCACAAATGAACAAGTCCGATAGCTTCATTACTTTCCATATATTTATTTTTGCTGGCTGCCTCTAAATTCCTTCTAGTTTGGGTTGGGTTTTTTTCCCAAAATAGAAAAACTGCACCGCACATTACTATTAATACAACTCCAACTCCCACAACGAGAATAACGTGTGGGTAAAGGCAAAGTGATACTCTGAAAATTATTGCTTTGGGGATTAAAGAACTTTCAGGATACCGTAATTCAGAGCATCATTCAACAGTCCTTGAGAGCTCATAGGCCCATTTTGGAAACAAAAAGGAACTTCTATGACACTTCTCTTCCTGCAGCCACACATTCAGTGCAGGCTATAAAGAAAGACCCATACAGGAACGCATACATGACATCACCTCACCCATCTAGCAGTTTACTGTGTCAAACAGTAGGGAAAACTCAGCATTTGGCTACTTGGCAGAAGTGACTTAATTTTCTTAAGTGTTTCTCACAGAAGCCGTTTATCAAAGTGTTTTGAAAGGCAGCTACATGTATCAAAAAAATCTTCCTTTACTATGTGCTTTACGCATATAAAGAGAACATCACTGCCCTCTCCATTTTCCTTTGTTGGTGTATTGTCACGTTACACTTTAAAAATACACACAGGCTTTTACAATAATTATTCTATAGCCTGTTTCAACTTGTATTCCTGACACAGAGTTAGGCTTAATATGGCAGACATTAGTGTCTGCCAGAACATACTAGTTTCTTTATTTTCTCAGGTTTTTTATTCTTATCTGCAACTGTGTATCCTCTGATAAGAAACCAAAGATCAACAATACAATAGACTAAACATTACTTTTAAATGAAAATCCCCACATTTTATTTTTTTAGCAGTTATACAAAATCTAAGTTAACAAGAAAATTAATTACAGAGCTAGCTTTTACATAGCAACTAGAAGTTGCCTTATTGCTCAGAATAGAAAATAGTCGAACATGGTTTTCATAAGAAAAAAAGAAAAAAGAAGACCACTAACCTGAAAAGTTACAGACATTTGTTACGTTGCACACAATGGTTTCTCCTGCTATAGCTTTTTTGGGAAAAAAAAAAAAAACACCTCTAGGGAGTAAAAAAGTTGAATTTAAACCCAGTACTGACAAACATACATATCTACAATTATTTCAATGTTTTAATTGTAAAGTTCTTTACCTTTTACAAATATTTCACATACTGTCTAGGCTTTACTTCTCTAGGGTACTTGCCATGACATTTTCCAAGACTTTGTATTCAGAGTGAGACATGTTGGTTTTGATTAACTAATTTTGAATAATTTTCTGTAACAGTTTCCACAGAAGACTTACATGCAAGTGGTCTCTATTTTTTTCTTTAAACCCAAATAAAACAGGAATCAGCATATCATAAATAAGCTCTTCAAATTTCACAGTATTCAATCACCAAGTAGCATAGTACCTGCTTCTAACGATCCCACTATGGCTACTTACGATAGCATGAAACTAAAACTGTTCCACCTGACAGAATTCAAACTATGATGATAGAAAATATGTATACTCTCATCTAGTAGAACATGTCTTTAGTGAGTTGCAGCAAGCTTTTTTGCTGCTCCTGTATTTTTAACACTACCTGCACTGCAAAGAAATAACACCGATCCCAAATTAAGGGCACTGTAAACAGATGGCTGTGTTGTATAAAATCAAAATAAAGGACCAGAATGATATTTGCAACCAAGACAAAACTCCTACACTTGTTCATAAAAACAACGTGACAGCACAACATTCTCTACATTACTTAAGCAGATTCCTCAATTATGCTGAGGAACAGCAAAATGGTTCAAAATAAACTACGTTTTGGTATAAGAAAAAAGACTGGCCTCCATTAATGGTAAAAAAAATCCTATTTTCTCTGCTGTTATCATTAGTTAATATCAAATGAGATGGGAATGTTTTTTTTACTTTTTCTGTGGTACAAACATTTGCCTTTTATAATTTGATGCTGCATGAATTTTCTCACCATCAACAAACAGGCTGGATCCATGGGCCAAGGCCAATTGTATGAGGTTTAACAAAGCCAAGTGCCAGGTCCTGCACTTGGGTCACAACAACCCCATGCAACGCTACAGGCTTGGGGAGGAGTGGCTGGAAAGCTGCTTGGCAGAAAAGGACCTGGGGGTGTTGGTCGACAGCTGGCTTAACATGAGCCAGCAGTGTGCCCAGGTGGCCAAGAAGGCCAACGGCATCCTGGCTTGTATCAGGAATAGTGTGGCCAGCAGGAGCAGGGAGGTGGTCGTGCCCCTGTACTCGGCACTGGTGAGGCTGCACCTTGAGTACTGTGTTCACTTTTGGGCCCCTCACTACAAGAAGGACATTGAGTTGCTGGAGTGTGTCCAGAGAAGGGCAACGAGGCTGGTGAGGGGTCTGGAGAACAAGTGTTATGAGGAGCGGCTGAGGAAACTGGGGTTTTCTAGTCTGGAGAAAAAGAGGCTGTGGGGAAACCTTATTGCTCTCTACAACTACCTGAAAGGAGATTGTAGTCAGGTGGGTGTTAGTCTGTTTTCCCAAGTAACCAACAATAAGATGAGAGGAAATGGCCTCAAGTGGTGTCAGGGGAGGTTTAGATTGGATATTAGGTGTCTATGAAACAGCCATCAGAGGATATGGATGGTGAGATGGTGGCAATATTCAAATTATTAGAAAAAAAAAAAATTTCAGAAAGCAATTTAGATTCAAGTAAATTTTCCTTCCCTTTTGTATTGGCAGTTGTCAGTGAAATAATTATGAAAATTGTACCAGCACATTTTAAAAAAAAAATCCTTAAAGAAATAACATGTTCGTAAATAACTGAATTTGTCAAAATTATTAACTACATAAAGAACAACACTTACAAAAGCCCAATACAAAACCCAGGAGTGACACAGAAGTAAAGAGTAACACCAGCCTCTTTTTCTTTACAGAGCACCCATTTGTGTGCCACCTAGTCTTGCTTAGGATCTTTGTGTGCCACTAAAATGCACAACATACATAAGCACTGTGGATGATAAAAGACTGATCAAAAATCACTAGTGCTGCCAGCCCCCAAAGATCATCAGATAACATAGCTGCAAACTTACTGCAGGTCACATTCACACAGTCAAATTATACTAGCCAGTATGACTCCAAGCCATTTCTTCTATCACTTTTACTAATTCAGTGCAAATACATTCTAATTGGCCTACGAGGCTCCTACATGGATAAGAAAAAAAATTAAATTCAGTCTACTCCTATAGACTGGACCTGCTCTGAGGACATCATGACTGGATTCAGTCTGCTTCAGCCTACTAAAAAGCATAAGGATTTTTTTTTTTTTAAAGTAAACACGGTCCCTGAGATTGTATTTCTTACATCTTTGTGGTAACCTGCTGCTCTGACTTACAAAATAACAAAACTCTTCTATATGTGGCCATCTAGGCAAGCACTGCAGAATGAGACCTTCGACCAGACTGGAGATCAATGCCAAGTAAGACAGACTGCTAATAGGACACACCATAACACCAAGAAAAAAGACTTCTTCAAACTGTTTGGAAGCAGACTTCCTGAACTCACACACACAAATTTCGAGGAGCATAAAAGAAGATCAGTGATGATATATGACTCCTACCTGGTGTTATGGTGGAGTAATAATCAGTGATGCTAAGAGCTCCTGTTAAAAAAAAAAAAAAAAAGTTTCAAAATTAAGTTTTCACATTTTAATTTAAAAAGCCTGTGAAATACATGTCACAAAAATAAGTTTCTTGATTTCTACTTTAGTCTCTATTTTCCCAGGAGGAGAAGTGTAAACACATGATCATTCACAAGGAAATTAAGTCACTTTCAAGATGGGAAATGAAAAAGCAGCATTTGGAGTGAGATCCATACAATCAAATGTTTATGTCCCTCATGTGAGCCAGTTACTCTAGGCTCCCTATTATTCCATGGAGACAGTGGTGCTTTTAAGGTGTGATTCCCATTTAACCTATTCTACATGGACACTTCAGCACAAGATGAATCATGTTCTGAAAACGTGTCTTTCTCTCCATTAGCTATGAAGAATAGCAGGATGTCTGGCTCATATACAGATGTGTAGGAATCTGTACTGATATGGGATGAACCTACTCCTGGTTTTCAAATGGAAAGATCAGGAAAAAAAGGGGTAGCAAGTCCTTCTGATTCAGTCTTTACTGATAGTATCTGGCAACTCATTGCAAGAACATATATCATGTAAGTGTCTTTAAGGAATGGTGTGTACATTTTAGTTCTGTAGAATACTTCCAATGGTATCAGAAAATATAGAAAACATTCTATCTATAGATATACCAAAAAAACTCCATACTTGCTAAAAATAAATATACCAAGTTTGGTAAGCAATGTAATACTTTGAATAAAAAAGAAAGGTTAACAGCTCAGTGTCGGTTTAATGCACTCCAAAACCCTACCTATGCAGACTTAAAGTACAGATTGGAGATAAATATAAATTTTAAGATCAGGTAAGAAAATAATTTGGACTAAATGAAACCCCATTATTAAAGGAAAAAAAAAAGCACATTTTCATGAATGCAGCAAACAGCTCCCTTCAGACCCTAATCTCTTCATGCTAATTCTCACCTGTAGTTTGTGTAGTCTCCTCTGAAGTCATATCTGAAGAAGAAAAATTAATAACAGTAAAAAAAAAAAAAATTAAATAAAATTCTAAAAAATTCTAAATCTAACTAAATCTAAGTAAGAGAAACATGAACAAAATCTTGCCTGAAGAATTAATAGGATAGGTGATAAAAGTAACAATAGAGGATTCTGAAAAAAAAAAAAAAAAAGACAATAAGTAGAAACTGTATTCATATTTTATTTCTATGAATTTTGGAGAAGCATGCAAAACTTTGAACAGGAACTGAATTTTAGCTATCTAAGTTCCATTTTGAGAACAACTGCAGTGCTTGTTAGGAAGGTTCACAGTATTTCAATATAAATATTTGAAATAATGTTCACATTATTTCAAAAATCTGAGTATCTGAATATGAACAGCTGGTAATCAAGTTCCTTCAGATAAGTTCCTTTTATTGTTTTCATTCTTTTAGAAGATGCAGATGAATTTGGCATACTCAATAGCCCCCAGGACCTTTTCCTGCACCAACTCACAACACTCATGAGCAGAGATGACATACTGGGTTTGGAAAACTCTCTCTCCAGAAAAGCCATTTTTGCCAGTAACCATACAGAAATAAAACAGAATGAGGATGCAAGTTTTTTTCAGCTACATCAAAAGAAAATTAAATTAAGACAATAGAAGAAAATTTAAAGATTGCTCAAGAAGGATATGCTTAATAAGCATATTTTAGGTGTCAGTGCAGGAATACAAACCACAAAGAGGACCACTCCAATAAGACAACTTAGTGCCTTTTTTTAAAATGGGCCAGAGCAGCTTCATAATAGAAGAACATCATGCTTTCCAGACTTCTTTACTAAAAGCATCACTGTCATTAGCAGAAACAATATCTTAAGTATAATAAAGAAAAGTTGGTGGCTCTGCATAAAGATAGTTGCATATCAAGAAATAAAAAGCACCCTACTTCAGTACAAAGGGAAAGGGAGCTTTTCTGATGTGTTTATTTCAGCTACACTACCTATTCTGAGCCTTTTCAAGAGTGCCCTCTTAATTCCATACTCAGAGTAAAAGCTAAGTGTAGACAACTGATTTTCTAAGGTAAGTAACAAGCAGCCAAAATTTGAGGAACCAAAGTGAAAACTAAGTGCTGATTTCATCTGCATTATTTGGCTCGGTATAAACTACAAGAAATACTGAATTGGCTGCAGTTGTTAAAGATGAACCATTCCCAGAGAAAGACTGTATCTGTGAAAGAACAAAAGCATGTGTGTTTGTGTCTGTATGATTTCTTTTCTCCAGAGCACGATATGTCAGTATACATTAAGCGAGAAAGCAGCTGGCGTTCACACAGCTGTTTCTGTATGTCTACATTCCTCATTTTTAAAAAATGCTTTCATAGATGGTGTTCATCACTTCTGGTCCCAGAAGTTATTAGAGAGTGTGTGTGTGTATGCACACATCTGCTAGGGTGGGAGGAGATGTAAGAGAGCTCTCTCACTACAGTCTTCCTCCTCTGCCATCTTTCCGCACTGTTCAGTGTTCAGGTTACTGGACAAAATCCTCTTGATCAAGCAACTTGCACCTACTTCATCCCCAAGCATCACTGCCATAAACCATGAGTGATCCTACAAGGTAAGTTATTTCATTACAAAGCACAACGAAGAAATCAATTTTCTCTTCAAAAAATAAACAATGAAAACATTAAATTTTGGAATTTATTCACAACTTTTCTGCATTACCTCAGATAAAAACAGAAGATTTATCTAACACGAAATAACAAACATTGCAGTAATCAGTAAAGTCCTGATTTTCTTACCAGAAATGGTTGTTGCAGCCGATTCTCCTGAATTTGCATCTTTTGTTTCAGACAGAAAAACACAAGAGGGGAAAAAAAGGACCATAATGAAGTTTCATGCACATACATAAGCATCCTCAGCAGTCTTTCCTTATATTATCAAAAGTTTACTGCATTCACCAGAAGAGGGCAACACCTGCTTGTCAGAACAACACTTCCAGGTTGTCAAAAAAGTCAGATATAACTACCTTTCATTAAAAAAAATTAGAATTTTTATGAACTCACATAGAATTCAATTCAAGACGATTTCCTTTCAACAAATACTGGACAGTTTGCATTGTATAATGCTAAGAAAACAAAAATCATTGACCCAAGATATGTGCCACGCTAGCCAGAACGCCACATGCTTACCCTGAGTGTCTTGCTAATTCTGGGAATGGGAATCAAGCATACATAACAAAATGCCTGTAGCTGGGTTTGAAGAAATCTTCTCAAACTTTGCGTAAAACAGTGAGACTTGCCATTTAAAATTTATGTCCTATGGATCTGGTCTCTTTTCCATCGTCCAAAAAGCAGCATTACAAAAAGCCAGTTCAAGTTTGAACCTGTGATCTTGACAGGAGCCAGCCAACTATTTACATAGCAAACACTAGCCACTAAATCTTTGATGTTGTTACAGTCAGTATTCTGATCAAAAATAAATTAGGAAATATGATATCTGGTTCACATAGCAACTTCACAGTAAGCCCTTTCATTGACTTAGTGGTTTTTGACAGTGCCACAGACAAATCGTCACAGTTATCACAGAATTATAATCTTAAGAACAGTTGGCTACAAATACAAAACACTATTTAAAAAAATATATATAAGGTATTTCAACATCGTCTCTCAAAACTCAAGTCATCCTATAATGGTACTTACAATACATTATACTGTAAAGCCTTTCCTACTGTTGTAGAAGAGTAAGTCACAGATAGCAAAAGTCTCTAAGGAAAACCATATTTTTTTGGTTAAACATAGTAAACAAGGAGTTTCTGAAATGCTAATCATTCACATGATTCCTTGCTCAGACTATTTTGCTCACCTTACTGAAAACTAGTAATACTTTCTTTCCAAAGGATAATTGTAAATACAATTTCTGCAATGAAGGGAGAATCGGAGTCATCCCAGTGACCTTATTTCCATTTTCTCTGGAAGATTACTGATGCTATTTGCACTATTAAATACGCTACTAAGCCACAAGGATGATATGGATAATTAATTTGTAAATATTTCCATATTCTTAACTATCTCCATGAATTAAAAAGTAATAGCAGCAGCAATCTTCCTATGCACTTTCTAAAATAGAAGAACAATGGGGAAAAAATTACACAGAACCCCTACATACCTGTTACCAGTTTTCTGCCAGGCAACGTAGCAGAGGTTTCAACTACAAAGCAAGAAGATTTTTTAGGAGCAGCAAGTTTTATATATAATTGTACACAAGCATACATACACACACTTTTTTAAACACAAGCATTTTAGATGTGCTACTCAGTTCAAGCTGGTCTATAAAACTACTTTGCATCCATTGAGAAATGTGTGTTGGGTCTTTTTGGAAGCGGGAAGTTGAACTATTTTGATTTCAATTTTTTACTCGGTTTATCCCTTTTATACTCATGGAAGACACAGATTAGGCAGTGAGCTTTCCCATTGCCTTTCCATTGCCAATGTCTTCAGAAACCCTTTCAACACATTTGCTTGAGTGAAGGTGAAGTAGACTAAACAGCAGTAACAGGTACACACAACTGTGCTTTCACACAGCTATTTTTGCAAAAATGTGGAAAAGAAATGCTGATGAATTATTGAGAAAGTGAAATTTTATTAGTAGAAAGAGAAGAAGAGAAATTAAACAACAACAACAACAAAAAGCAGGAGCCAGGAGAGTTGGGTAAGACAGGGATGCTTTATTCCACATGTATTTACAAATTACATGAGATGTACTTTGAAAATACATCTACATCATGATATGGATATACATCATGTGGATGCTCACACGCCCAAGAACACCAAAGAACATCTAAACAATGAGCAGATAGATCAGACTCCCAGAAGTGAAGTGGCTCAGGTGGATCTGGACTGGGAATGAAACAGTGAGCTATTCTAGCTCAACGGGCCCATGAAACATGTCCCTAGGTACACCTAGGGAGACACGCAACATACAGATGGACTCTTGATCAAGGCGTGTATCTGACAACTGAAGCTATTGCAGAGGCTACCCATGAATGTGAAATATGCACCGTAATCAAGTGAGCCAAGTGACTGAAGTCTCCCTGGAATAGAAGATGGTGGCTGGGCTATCAATACAAGAAGGCCTAGCAGATCAGTTACATCAGACCATTGCTGCAAACCTGTCGCCAAGGCAAGTGCTATGTGTTTCCTGTGGTGGAGGCAACTAGCAGGTGGCTACAAACGTACACTGCAGCCTATGCCACCACCCAGAACATCATCCTGGACCTTGAAAAACAAGTGGCAACACAGCATGACATGCAATTTAGGCACTATTACCTACTTAAGCACCCTTGATTGCTGAGACCCTGGCTGTTGGGGCAAGGAGGAAGAGATATTCTCTTCAAGTCACTGAACCTGGTGGGACACTCTAGCCACAGCAAAGATGCAAGCCCTCAGGGTTGTGGAGGAAGGGAAGATTCCCTCTGACTTGCCAGAGCTGGTGGGACAGTTTCTCCACAGTTAGTGCCTTGATATCCAGCCAATCCATCATCACCAAGGTATTGGCATATTACACTGGTGCGTACTGTACTAACCTCAGCCACATGGCCCACACGCAAGGGATGTCATCCAGATCTTTGGAGACCTGGTTGTTGTCTATCTAGGTTGCTGTAGACCACCTCCACCACTGCTAATTCCCTCACATACGGGACACCTTCCTTCTTCCATCAGCGGTGGTCCACTTGCATCAGTAGTCTACAAGTCCATCCTTGGACTCTGAATCCAGTGATCCAAGTTCAAATCTCTGTGGGACCTCAGTAACCAGCCAGCTGGGGATGACACACAGGAAAGCGCTCGGAGGCAACAAACTCCTGGGTACCAAGATGGGTAGGAGAATTTGGGCAGGTGCCTAGAGCAGTTTTCACCTCTGATGGCCTGGGAGTTTACACCTGAACAGGCATGGAATCCTGTTGAAACCGCAGACCACTTGAAGGAAGGATGTCTTGGTTACACCAAAGACAAGACAGAGACTTTTGGTGCTGTGTTGGGGTCTGGCCTATGCCTACCAGGCCTATGTCCAATACCCTGAAAGGAGCAAGAGGGTCTCTGGATCTGAGGACATACAAATGGATACTGTGGCTATCCCAGTGACACAACCCTAACCACAACAGTCACTCCTGCAGTCAAAAGGAAACAATGGAAGTGGAGGCTGGCCCAGTTAGTGAAGAAGAACTAAGCTCCTTTCGAGGGGATGCAGGGAGAAGACTCAGAAGAGGCAGCCTGTTTTGCAGCAGAACAGCCACAAGAACAGGAGGGGAAAGTGACAGAAATCATAAAAGAGACAGAAACCATCCAGTCCCTATTCCTGAGCGAGCTGCAAGATATGTGCATAGATTACAGCTGCCAGCCAGGTCAGCAGATTGCTGCCTAGTTGCTCCAATGCTGGGATACTGGGGCCAGCTATCAGGAGTAAGAGACTACATGAGAGCTTGATGAGATGTAAAGAAATGTCAGTTCATTTTTTTTGAATGTCCTACACTCCGTGAAGCTAAAAGCAGCAACTCTGAAATATGGCAGGATGAATACATGGAAATCATATTAATTTTGTTTATGTTTAATTTTTAGGAGGTTTTTAGGAGAAACTGTTAACTTTATTTGATTTGCATCCTGGGTAGAAATTTTCTCATGTAAAAGAGAAAGAGAAGGAGAGAGAGAGAGAGAGAGAGAGAGAGAGAGAGAGAACCAATATTCTAAGTAAAATAATATGCATCCATTAGGTAAAAAGTGTAAGTAAAAGATTACACCTTCATACGTATCAGCCTACTGAATTTAAACTATTTCTGTAAAGACAAAAACAAGTCACATCAAACTTCTCATTTGAGACAACTAGGATTCTGTGTACAGAGAAATACAATTGGCCTTTTTAACATCTAGCACTGTATGAAATTCACAGATGATGAAAATTTGGCTATAACCGTATTTTTTACAGTCAATATTCAAGAAAAACAGGACTTTTCACTATATGGTAAGTCTGGTTAAAATACATGATCCTATAACCTTATCTGTTCTAGAGCTCTATTTAGAAGTGTTGTTACTTTAACAATGTAAAGGGATTAGGTACTATAAAATTATTTTCTTAACACCTTCTGTGGGTTTAGGGAAGACCCTTAAGATACAATAATAACTTTAAATAATATGCAGAACTGAAGCAGCAGTCAAATAAAACTGTTCTGTATTGTTTAAACAGTAAACAGTTTTTTAAGGTACGATGGGGTGGATAAAAATAATTGAGTCAATTGAGAAGAAAGTATCCTACCACAGATGGACAAACTGGTTTTCCTACACAGGAAGTGAATTCCATCTCCAAATATTTACCTACCACTGGTCCTGTCTTACTAAGTGGTTAGCACCTTTTGCAAAAGGCCTCATCTCCAACCAAAGGGCCCCGAAGGAAATTAAATTCTCAAAAGGAACCCACCTCTTGAAGTATGCAGCATGTCACAGAAAAGACCCCCACACTGCTTCCTCTTCCCACTAAAAAAATAAAAAAATCCACCTGGGGAACCTGACCTCAAGGTCTTTCTCACATATTCTTGAGGAGTCAGTGTAGACCTAGTCACTGTAGACAAACTGCATTTCCCATCCTCCATATCCCTTACACTGGCTTTGTGAATTTTTGAGAATATAAATAGTATACGGAGGTATGTAAGAAAATTGTCCACTAACATGTTTAGTACTGTAGGTTAGTAAGCAGATAGTGAACTCTAAAAATGCCAAATGCTTTTAATAACAATTCCAGCAGTACAAGGAGCAAAGTAAGCTAAATACAAGCCATGAATATCGAGATGACAAATGCAGCAAGGGATGATGGCACGCATAATCTGAGGGGCACTTTTTTCTGGACACAAATCTAACCATGACTTCTCTTACAGCACAATATTCACATGCCTACAGTTGCTAGAAATAATCCGTGAGAATGAGACTTGTCACTGATCAAGGTGCAGCACTAAGTTCACTAACCAAGCCTTTCATCAGAAGCACCTTTGCACTTAGCAAGGGGGAAGAAGGCAGGGGTGTCCAAAAGAACTTCCAAGAGAGCATCACTTCCTCCATGCTCAGGAGCGGTGCATCCCCCTGAGAAAGAAATCGAGCAAAGGAGGCAAAAGAGACCTGCATGGATGAACAAGGAGCTTCTAGCGGAGATCAGGTGGAAGAGAAAGGTCCATGGAATGTGGAAAGAGGGACACGCCACTTGAGAAGAATACAGGAATGTTGTCAGAGCATGCAGAGATGCAACGAGCAAGGCCAAGGCCCACCTGGAATTGAAGCTGGCAAGGGATGTCAGAAACAACAAGAAGGGCTTCTTCAACTACATCAGCAGCAAACAGAAGACTAGGGACAATGTGGGGCTGCTGCTGAACAAGGTGGGTGTCCTGGTGACGGAGGATGCAGAGAAGGCAGAGTTACTGAATGCCTTCTTTGCTTCAGTCTTCAGTGCCAAGGCAGGCCCTCAGGAATCCCAGGTCCTGGAGGCAGGA